TCCCATGGGGATCTTCATTGACTTACGTAAACTTTTGATACAGTTGGGCCCTGCTTGCTCACGTAAATTGTCACACTATGGTATTGAGGGGGACTCCCTAACTACCTAAGTCTCCTCAGAACAGAAACAATAGTGTACGCAAATGGGGCAAACTCTTCTGCACAACCAAAATTTAAATTTTGGTGTCCCACAGGGGAAGTGTCCTTGGCCCCCTTTTTCTTTCTCTATACAAAATGACCTACCAAATGTTCGCAATTTCTCAAACCCCCCATTTTGCAGATGACATACATACGTCTTTTCCCCCCCAACCCCCGTCACGTAGCCAATACTGTAAATACCAAAATTCAAAAAAAATCTCCCGGATGAGGGTAACAAACTTACATAAAAATTACAAAAACCTACTTCATTCAGTTTGTAAAAAGTACAGATGTCCCTCTTAACTAATGATAAACGGACCTATCACAAAACTAACAGGGGAAAAAATTTTTAGGATTTCCCAACTTGATAATAACTCAAATTTTATACCCCTATACAAAAATTTCTAAAAAATTTCCAAGATGTAGGTACTATCGAAGATACGGTACTATGTCCACGTCAGCCCTCCCGGGCCCCCTATCACTCACTTATTTACCCCTATCTCACCTATGGAATTTGTGCATGGGGCTCAACAACAATTAACCATCTCAAAACCACTAATTACCCAACAAAAGGTGCAGTTAGAATGATAACAATTTCTCACTACAGGCAGCACACTCCACTAATATTCAATACACTAAACCTACTCACCATAAAAAACATCCATACTTATTACTGCACCTATTACATACATAGAACACTTAACTTGATATTAACCCCCCCCTCAAACATCTCCTTGCCAACCTCAAAAAGAACACATGACCATACACAAGGCACAGATCACTCTTTGATGTTCCTCGTGTCCATCTACACTATGCAAAACTAAATGCACAAAAAAGGCCCTAAAATCGGGAATTCATTACCTGTAAAAAAAAGAAACACTCCTGTTTATAAATTAAGTCTCTTCTCAAAAGATCATTACTCACCCAAAACCAAATAAATATGAAAAAATCAACCTTAAAATTGTTATCTTAAATTTTTCCCAAAATTAAAATTTCACATAAATTTTAAACCTAAAACCCTCTAACTTTACATTTTTTTTAAAAAAATCCCTAACAGAATTCTCCAACGACTGGGTAAACAATCATGCAACCTTGACCTGTTTTGAAATACTCACTTGTGTTTTATATTATCTGTTTACATAATTTTTTATCATTTTGATTTCATCATTGCTTTTTAAATCTTAATTAATTTTAAGCCAGCCCGAATGTATGCTGAAAAGGGGCTTTGGCATGCTGCTCTTTCCCTGAATTTTTTTTTTTCCTCTGTATGTTGCTCAATTGTAATAAAAATAAATAAAAAAAATAAAAAAATAAATAAATAAAGAATCACACATAAAGTGGGAGTTGTCACGTTGCTCTTTGTGATGACCTGGGTCTTGGAGATTCAAAAGAAAATTTTTGCAGGATTGGTGGATAAATTTGGTAGGGTGTGAAAAAGAGAAAATTGAAAGTGAATACGGAAAGAGTAAGGTTATGAGGATAACAAAAAGATTGGTGAGAAAGTTGGATACAGATTGGGGGAGAGAGTATGGAGGAGGTGAATGTATTCAGATATTTGGGAGTGGACGTGCCCGCGGATGGGTCTAAAAAAGATGAGCAAAATCAAGAATTGATGGGGGGAAAAGGGTGAGTGGTGCCTTGGGTCTGTGGAGACAAAGAACTTTGCCTTGGGAAGCAAAGGGGGGAAATGTAAGAGAGTATAGTTTTACAACGCTCTTTTTTGGGTGTAAAAGCGTGGGTGATGAATGTTGCAGCGGGAGAAGGCTGGAGGCAGTGGGGATGTATGTTGAGAGCAATTGTGGTGTGAATATTTAAGCAGAAATTCGTAGTTTGGAATTAGGAGTAGGTGCGGGTTACCAAAAAAGTTGTCCAGGGGAGGAAGGGTTGTTGAGTGGGGTTGGGGGCATTGGAGAGAAAGGAGCAAAACAGAAAAATTTCAAGAGTGATCAGCTGTTGGAAAGGAAGGGGGGGGAGGGGTCGGCCCAGGGAAAAGGGTTAGGGAGGGGGTAAAGAGGTTTTGTGTGCGAGGGGGCCCTTTGGGCTTCCAGCAGGGATGCTGAGCATGTTTGGTGGAGGAATGGAGACCAAATGGTTTTTAAATTGCGTGCTGTTGGATTTTAGCAAAGTAAAAATTTATGAAGGGGGTTCAGGGGGAAAACCGGGGGGGGACTTTGGGCCTGGGGATGGGAAGTACGTGCGCACTTGAAGGGGGGGTGTTAAGTTGCAGTTTTAAAAAATGTGTGTAAAGCACCCTTCTGCCAAGACAGTGATGGAGTGAATGATGGTGAAAGTTTTTCTTTTTCGGGCCACCCTGCCTTGGTGGGAATCGGCCACTGTGATAATAAATAAAAAATATGGCATTAGAACTGGACAAGATTCCAATGCTCTATTTATTCATGTAAGAGATTTTAACCATCCAATTGATTTTCAAAAAGTTGAGAAAGTAGTATCAAGCAAGTCCATGGTCGACAGGAATATAATTGAATCTTGTTTCATAAAAAGCAGTTTTGACAATAATATGAATATTTCCTTCGGTTTATATAAATTAGATTCATTTATAATTAATAGAATTTGGGAAGAATTTAATAATACACTGGACAAATAATAATTTAAAAAATTTTCTTGGGTAGAATAGTTTGTTGGTGGTTGTGCAAAGGTCCTGTCCAGTTGGGCCGGCGCGCATCAGGTGTTTAACCGTTGTGGGATCTGATAGTGAGGTGTTGGCCAGACCCCCTTATATACCTTCCTTGGATGCTTTACTTTCATAGTTCCTTGATAATGTGAGTAGTCACGAAAGCGCTTGGAATTTCTCTATTCTTTCAGAGGTGGTTGTTTTGCATATTATATTATATATATATATATATATATATATAATATATATATATATATATTATATATATATATATATATATTATATATATATATATATATTATATATATTATATATATGTAAAATATATATATATATATTTATATATAATATATTTTATATATATATATATATATATATATATATATATATATATTTATATATATATATATATGTTAATGAAACCACAAAACAAGTGGTATTGATCAGATCATGAACAACACGTAGCTCTGCTTGATGTATGATCTTTGAAGGATCGCTGGTTAAATGGTTAAGGCAATGTGAACGTTGTTTTGTCTCTTGAGGTGAGAGAATGTGTCGCAGGATCTAATCTCGGCTAGCCGCAGTTTGGTGTATGTGTCGTGACGAATAAGTAAAAGTGGTCAGTTAGCAAGAACTCATTTAATATTACGTCCTTTCTAAAATTTTCTCTTATACGTTTAAAGATATTTTTTGTTATTTATGTTAATGTAAAAATTGATAATTCTGTTCCGAAAGAACCTTAGAAAACTTATCTAACCTTATTATAACAAGCGGAATTTAATTTAGCCTAATCCAACTAAATATATTTTACATAAATTTACAGCAATTTAATAATAAACAAACACAATGAAATATGTTTTTTCGTTAGGTTTAGAATGTAAACACAAATCTTTGCTTGCCTTATTCGGCAAGAAGAGCGTTGCTATTTAAGCCAAAATCGCAAGTTTTACCTATTCGGCCCTACACACACACACACACACACACACCACACACGCACACACACACACACACACACACACACACACACACACACACACACACACACACACACACACACACACACACACACACACACACACACGAGCTGAAGACTCAGACGAGTCACAATGACGTTAGAAGTATTTCTTCAGTCATAGAGTCGTCAGGAAGTGGAATAGCCTAGCAAGTGAAGTAGTGGAGGCAGGAACCATACATAGTTTTAAGAAGAGGTATGACAAAGCTCAGGAAGGCAGAGAGGGAGAGGACCTAGTAGCGATCAGTGAAGAGGCGGGGCCAGGAGCTGAGTCTCGGCCCCTGCAACCACAATTAGGTGAGTACACACACACACACACACACACACGCATATATAATATATATATATATATAATATATATATATATATATATATATGTATGTATAATATATATATATATATATAATATATATATATATATATATATATATAATATATATATATATAATATATTATATATATATATATATCTTCTTTCTCTTTCAACACACCGGCCGTATCCCATCGAGGCAGGGTGGCCCAAAAAGAGAAACGAAAGTTTCTCCTTTTACATTTTGTAATATGTACAGAAGGGGGTTACTAGCCCCTTGCTCCTGGCATTTTAGTGGCCTCTTACAACACGCATGGCTTACAGAGGAAGAATTCTGTTCCACTTCCCCATGGAGGTAAGAGGAAATAAACAAGAACAGGAACTAGAAAGAAAATAGAAGAAACCCGAGAGGGGTGTGTATATATATGCTTGTACATGTATGTGTAGTGTGATCTAAGTGTAAGTAGAAGTAACAAGACGTACCTTAAATCTTGCATGTTTATGAGACAGACAAAAGACACCAGCAATTTTAACTTCATGTAAAACAATTACAGGCTTTCGTTTTACACTCACTTGGCAGGACGATAGTACCTCCCTTTGTGGTTGCTGTTTACCAACCTACTACCTATAATATAAATATATATATATATATATATATATATATATATATATATATATATATATATATATATATATATATAATATATATATATATAATTTATGTTATAACTGCTGTTTTATTGTAAAGTAATCTAATGCAAAGTCAGAATAGCATTTACCAATAATTACAGTATATTGTATAATCTTAAATAGTTAATAACACCAAGAAGTGAACAATTGAAGAGCTTGGATAAGTTAGGGGCAGGGAAGCATTTACTGACACAGTAAACAATATATACAGGATATACTGGCGTTAAGTGACAGTTGAGAAGGAGCAATCAAGGTCACAGGACGCTACTCGTCCATGATGCGCGTTCTCTGCTTACTTATCCTAGTTGCCGCAGCCAGCCCAGGACCTGCGCCTGAGCCCCTCCTGGAAACCTCTCCTGGCTCTGGTTTTGTAGGCACAATTGTACGAAAGCCTGTTGAACCTTTACATGGAAAACTCATTAAACCAGGAGACTTGGCAAAGCCACTTTCTCGTCCAGCTCGGCCACTGAAGTCAGCCTCTTCAATCTCGCCAGCACATCTGTCAAGAGGCGCTGCTGACACTCCTGACACCAAGTGGAGTGGTAGTCAAGGTAGGTAATACTTTCTGCATTTCTGAGTTAAAGTACATTATTTAGTGTAATTGTATAATGTGAATATCATATTTTTTAAACAGTGCCTCCATCGGAGGTTCAATTCAAGCCAACAGTTTAAATTATGAACCCAAAAATGATCAAAATACCACAAATGAAGTGAATTTTGTGACAGACTCGGGTGGTTTATAGACCGTTGATATCCATACTCTGGACGTTAGAGCGGAAATATACGGATACCTAGACACCAGACCTCAAAGGGTTAATTAATAGGAGTAAACTGAAATACACTTGCAATATTATCATCCTTGGAAATAATAATAATAATGATAATAATAATAACATTAAGAGCCAAACATTTATGGAAAGAAATTATCAAAACATATTAACAAATACCAGTGAAAAATTAAGAGGAGAAAATACCTAAGCGTTTTCGTACGTTTACGAATACATCTTCAGAGGATGTAATTTATCCAAAGATGCCGCCTCCTGTTTACTACTTTAAGTTCCGCTATTAGCTTCTTAAATATAAAAATTTGCTTAGAGAGTAGTATAGTGGAACGCCAGTTGAACTGTAGCCCCCCCCCCATTCTTAATTCAATTAATGCAAGCATTAACTAAAATTGGTCACCTTGTTTATGTTTCAGGTAATTTATTTTACCTAATGGTAATCTTTTAGTTCTTTATTGAGTGAGAAATGTAAAAGTCTTCACTATTTTTCTGTTAAAAACTAATACAGCACTATACTTTTATCTGGCAGGATCGTGTGTATCATGTGAGAAGTTAAGTAGGCGTCAGGAAGGAGTGTGTTGTCGCCGGTGGAGCCTCTGCTGTTTGCCACTCAACCCTCATTAATACATTATAAACACGTACAGAACATCACTAATACTGGTCGCCGACAGCGCTCTTCACCATGTAAAACCAGGTCACCTGACAAGAAACATAACCTGGTTTCCCTAACCTACGATAAATTAGACCACTTGAATCACTAGCAACTAATAATAGACCATGTAATAATATATTTTAACAATATCGCATGTATGTTATTTAAATAAGTTTCCGCCGTATATGCATCGTGAGGTGTGTGTATATTATCAAAATATTCACCATGAGATGAATATCTCTCAGTGCAGATAAAAGAAGGCTGCAATGATCCTTGTGCAGTCACCAGGCTTAATGACCCTTGGTCAGTCACCAGGCTTAATGACCCTTGGTCAGTCACTAGGCTTAATGACCCTTGGTCAGTCACTAGGCTTAATGACCCTTGTGCAATCCTTGTTCAGTTATTAGGCTTAATGACCCTTGTGCAGTCCTTGTTCAGTCACTAGGCTTAATGACCCTTGTTCAGTCACTAGACTTAATGACCCTAGTTCAGTCACTAGGCTTCATGACTCTTCTGCAGTCACTAGGCTTAATGACCTTATGAAGTCACTAGGCTTCATGACCCTCCTGCAGTCACTAGGTTTATATTAAGACCCACCTGCAGCCACTAGGCTTAACCCTCTTGCATTCACTAGGTTTAATGACCCTCCTTCAGTCACTAGGCTTAATGACCCTACTGCAGTCACTGGGTTTAACGACCCTCCTGCAGTCATTAAGTTTAATGACCCTCCTGCAATCCCTAGGTTTAATGACCCTCCTGCAGTCACTCGGCTTAATGACCCTCCTGCAGTCACTAGGCTTAATGACCCTCCTGTAGTCACTAGGCTTAATGACCCTCCTGCAGTCACTAGGCTTACTGACACTCCTGCAGTCACTAGGCTTAATGATCCTCCTGCAGTCACTAGGTTTAATGACCCTCCTTCAGTCACTAGGCTTAATGACCCTCGTAATAATAATTTAATCTAACAGCCAGGCACCTATTTACTGTTGGGTGAAGAGGGGCGGCAGGTGGTAGGAGACTTACCAATTATCGATAATTCAGTCTTCAAAAACCTCCTGATCCAAGGGATTGGAGCTACTATTTCCTTGTATCTAACCTGATTACCTCCCATTCCCCAGATGGGTTGGTAGGTGCATGAGATGCCGACACCATGATTTGAGACAAATCCCCATAATCCCAGCTCCCTCTGCCTCAGTGCACGCAAAGGCTGAGGGACTGACCACCTCAAAGTTTCAGAACTTTAAGGATAAGGGACTGACAGCCTCAAACTCAGTTCTTTTTCAAGGCTGAAGGATTGACCACCTCAAACCTACGAGTACTTCTTTAAAGCCGAGGAACTGACCACTTTAAGCTTACTTCATCAAGGTTAAGGGACTGACCACTTCAAACTTACTTAATCAAGGCTGGGGGACTGACCATCTTAAACTTACTTCTTCAAGGCTGAGTGACTGATCACCTCACATTCACCTTGCTACTGCTTTTTCAGTCTGAAGAAACCTGCTGAGTAGGCGAAAGGTTTGGAAAACACAGATACCCAAATATCGGCCATGTTTCTTACACATCTACCCGTTTGTTGTGATGTGAATAATTGACTAATGTTACACTGATGACAGCACTATAAAAGTTGACAAATAACTTATATTAATGTTATCACCAAAGATTCTCCCCAAATGTTCATACTATTAGAGGATTAATAACCTCCATATGCTGTATGACCCGTGCATGTTTAGCGCTTCCCGCTCACTACAACAGTAACATAGCCTCATTAACTTCATCTCAAAGCCAAAATTAAAAATGGTTTTTAATGCTGCCTGGCGTACGAGAAACATAAGAATACGCCCATAGCCTCTTATTTTTAAGGCAGTTGAGAAGAAAGTGAGTATGACTAAGACACACATTATTTAATAATCATTGCGGGATATATACACCTAAAGGTGTATATCTTTCAATGAATATACACTGGGGGGATTAATTTAATCCTTATTTGAATCGAAGTATTCTTGGCCGGTGGTGAAGAGATTACATGTAGCCTTAATGTCAGTCATGTAGTCGATAGGCTTTAAACTTCATTAACCAAAAAACTGATGGAAGGAATGAAGGAAGAGCAATATATTGTAAGTGCGGTGTGATACGTTGGGTCGAGAGAGGACAAGCTAGGTGAGTTGAGGCGCCACAAGTGCCTGAGGTGCCAGCACGGTAGGTGGTGCTTGTATCGTGCTGCACGGTAGGTGGTGCTTGTGTCGTGGTGCACGGTAGGTGGTGCTTGTATCGTGCTGCACGGTAGGTGGTGCTTGTATCGTGCTGCACGGTAGGTGGTGCTTGTGTCGTGGTGCACGGTAGGTGGTGCTTGTGTCGTGGTGCACGGTAGGTGGTGCTTGTGTCGTGGTGCACGGTAGGTGGTGCTTGTATCGTGCTGCACGGTAGGTGGTGCTTGTGTCGTGGTGCACGGTAGGTGGTGCTTGTATCGTGCTGCACGGTAGGTGGTGCTTGTGTCGTGGTGCACGGTAGGTGGTGCTTGTATCGTGCTGCACGGTAGGTGGTGCTTGTATCGTGCTGCACGGTAGGTGGTGCTTGTGTCGTGGTGCACGGTAGGTGGTGCTTGTGTCGTGGTGAAACGGTAGGTGGTGCTTGTGTCGTGGTGCACGGTAGGTGGTGCTTGTGTCGTGGTGCACGGTAGGTGGTGCTTGTATCGTGGTGCACGGTAGGTGGTGCTTGTGTCGTGGTGCACGGTAGGTGGTGCTTGTGTCGTGGTGCACGGTAGGTGGTGCTTGTATCGTGCTGCACGGTAGGTGGTGCTTGTGTCGTGGTGCACGGTAGGTGGTGCTTGTGTCGTGGTGCACGGTAGGTGGTGCTTGTATCGTGTTGCACGGTAGGTGGTGCTTGTGTCGTGGTGCACGGTAGATGGTGCTTGTATCGTGCTGCACGGTAGGTGGTGCTTGTATCGTGCTGCACGGTAGGTGGTGCTTGTGTCGTGGCGCACGGTAGGTGGTGCTTGTGTCGTGGTGCACGGTAGGTGGTGCTTGTGTCGTGGTGCACGGTAGGTTGTGCTTGTGTCGTGGTGCACGGTAGGTGGTGCTTGTGTCGTGATGCACGGTAGATGGTGCTTGTATCGTGGTGCACGGTAGGTGGTGCTTGTATCGTGGTGCACGGTAGGTGGTGCTTGTGTCGTGGTGCACGGTAGGTGGTGCTTGTGTCGTGGTGCACGGTAGGTGGTGCTTGTGTCGTGGTGCACGGTAGGTGGTGCTTGTGTCGTGGTGCACGGTAGGTGGTGCTTGTGTCGTGGTGCACGGTAGGTGGTGCTTGTGTCGTGGTGCACGGTAGGTGGTGCTTGTGTCGTGCAGCACGGTAGGTGGTGCTTGTGTCGTGGTGCACGGTAGGTGGTGCTTGTGTCGTGCTGCACGGTAGGTGGTGCTTGTGTCGGTGCACGGTAGGTGGTGCTTGTATCGTGCTGCACGGTATGTGGTGCTTGTGTCGTGCTGCACGGTAGGTGGTGCTTGTGTCGTGCTGCACGGTAGGTGATGCCTGTGTCGTGCTGCACGGTAGGTGATGCCTGTGTCGTGCTGCACGGTAGGTGGTGCTTGTGTCGTGCTGCACGGTAGGTGATGCTTGTGTCGTGCTGCACGGTAGGTGATGCCTGTGTCGTGCTGCACGGTAGGTGGTGCCTGTGTCGTGCTGCACGGTAGGTGGTGCTTGTGTCGTGCTGCACGGTAGGTGATGCTTGTGTTGTGCTGCACGGTAGGTGATGCCTGTGTCGTGCTGCACGGTAGGTGGTGCCTGTGAAGTGCTGCACGGTAGGTGATGCTTGTGTCGTGCTGCACGGTAAGTGGTGCCTGTGAAGTGCTGCACGGTAGGTGATGCTTGTGTCGTGCTGCACGGTAGGTGGTGCTTGTGAAGTGCTGCACGGTAGGTGATGCTTTTGTCGTGCTGCACAGTAGGTGGTGCCTGTGAAGTGCTGCACGGTAGGTGGTGCTTGTGTCGTGGTGCACGGTAGGTGGTGCCTGTGTAGTGCTGCACGGTAGGTGGTGCCTGTGAAGTGCTGCACGGTAGGTGGTCCTTTTGTAGTGCAGTACGGTAGGTGGCGCCTGTGTCGTGCTGCACGGTAGGTGGCGCCTGTGTCGTGCTGCACGGTAGGTGGTGCCTGTGAAGCACTGCACGGTAGGTGGTACTTGTCCTACTGCACGGTAGGTGGTGCCAGTGTCGTGCTGCGCGGTAGGTGGCGCCTGTGTAGTGGTGCTTATATCGTGCTGCACGGTAGGTGGCGCCTTTGTAGTGATGCACGATAGGTTATGCTTGTGTCGTGCTGCACGGTAGGTGGTGCCAGTGTCGTGCTGCACGGTAGGTGGTGCCTGTGTAGTGCTGCACGGTAGATGGTACCTGTGTAGCGCTGCACGGTAGAAGGTGCCTCTAGTGCTGCACGGTAGGTGGTGCTTGTGTCGCGCTGCACGGTAGGTGGTGCCAGTATAGTGCTGCACGGTAGATGGTGCCTGTGTCGTGCTGCACGGTAGATGGTGCTTGTGCCGTGCTGCACAGTAGGTGGTGCTTGTCGCGCTGCACGGTAGATGGTGATTGTGTCGTGCTGCACGGTAGGTGGTGCCAGTGTCGTGTTGTACGGTAGGTGATGCCATTGTCGTGCTGCACGGTAGGAGGTGTCTGTGTAGTACTTCACAGGTGGTGCCTGTGTCGTGCTGCACGGTAGATGGTGCCTGTGTCGTGCTGCACGGTAGGTGGTGCCAGTGTCGTGTTGTACGGTAAGAGGTGCCTGTGTCGTGCTGCACGGTAGATGGTGCCAGTGTCGTGCTACACGGTAGGAGGTGCCAGTGTCGTGCTGCACGGTAGATGGTGCCTGTGTCGTGCTGCACGGTAGATGGTGCCAGTGTCGTGCTACAAGGTAGGAGGTGCCTGTGTCGTGCTGCACGGTAGATGGTGCCTGTGTCGTGCTGCACGGTAGATGGTGCCAGTGTCGTGCTTCACGGTAGGAGGTGCCTGTGTCGTGTTGCACGGTAGATTGTGCCTGTGTCGTGCTACACGGTAAATGGTGCCAGTGTCGTGCTACACGGTAGGAGGTGCCTGCGTCGTGCTGCACGGTAGATGGTGCCTGTGTCGTGCTGCACGGTAGATGGTGCCAGTGTCGTGCTACACGGTAGGAGGT